CCCTGCAGTAGAGTATCAGCATCTTAAAAAAACACTCAGTAGGCCCTGTCTCTTATACACATCTAGATGTGTATAAGAGACAGCTTCACTATCACCGCCAGGTATTGGTGGCAGGTGAAACCTGGGAACGTGATGGAGCGCACGACTGGGTCGGGTGGAACACTTTGTTCACCTCTAATGGAGGGATGTGGTAATGAAATAATATGCTTAGCATTCATTTAACAAATAGGCAAACGTTAAATAGCCTTTAGTCCTGTACTGAGACGCACTGTTACGACTTACATGCTTAGTGGGTTAAGAATTCGTCGCAATATGCGAAGAGGCATACCTGTGTTTATATTCTGTAAAGACACAGTTTACGTGCTGTCTCTTATACACATCTAGATGTGTATAAGAGACAGGGCACATACAGTTCATATGTACTCATATTGATTTCTCTTATTGCATAGGTTGTTAATGCCCTCCGTATGTGCTCGCATACTGTGTCTTATTCATGTGCCCATACACACACCGGTCGTATACACTTCGCCTGCTTTACATTCTTATGGTTCTTCTATATTGTCGGTGTAAATAAAAGGAGTGGAGATTAGCAGGACCTCAAAATAATACTCAAGTATGATCAATGATACCGTACCCAATCGAGCGCACTTACGCCCCTCTTGAATAGATCTGAATCGCTTGTTTACTATAAATTCGTTAAATAAATCCGCCATAGTTCTTGATTCGTTACTGTTGTTAGGGTTCGAATCACATTTCGTTCAATTATCAGTAGGCCTGCTACTGTAATTCCCTACCGGTAATAGTCCCATTGGATTTTAATCAAAAGTAAACAAACGAATAATGTGAGCCTGATCACATTACTTTTAGTACATTTTTCTACATACCAATCAGCAATTTATCAATATCATTATATATAGGACAATTTTCAATAATCCACGGAATAAAATAGCGTTTGTGACCGCGCATTTGGTTGCACAAAAGAGAGTTGAATAACGACGGACATTGGCTGGTCCACTGTAGTGGCATGGATATTCCTGCCCCTCGATAGCCTGTGTTGTTTGTGGGCATAACGCCCGTTCCACTTACCAGTCGTTAATTTGAGAAGAACCACACCAAAACAAATAAATCCTTTTAGAAGTTCAAGAAACATTTTTCGTTGAGAAGCTTGCAAGTTTGGTCCGGAAAAACAAAAACAAAAATCAAATTTGGTTGACAAATAGAAGAAGCGGAAGATCGAGAGTTATAATTCCTACTGAATCCAGGGAGCTTCTATTCGGGCGATCGTTCTCAACTGGGATCAGGCAATGGTTTGAAGCAAGAAAATCAAAGCTTATACAGCAGGACGCCATTAATCATGATAGCAAGCAATTCATGTAATTGCAGGCTTTTATTTCGATCTAAAGAAGCGAGACAGGCTGTCTAGACTGCTAGGCCCATTGACTCACCGGCGCTTCTTGCTGTCTAATCATTTCAGTGGGCTGAAACGGCCTGCCTTTTCTTTATCGATAAATCCCCAGGGTTATAAAATCATCTTTAACCACCCAAAATAATATCATACACAATAACCTCTTAATCCATTGAGGAGATACAGTGTTTTCATACCTTTAGATTACATCCACTTATGAGATAAGGTATAGACATTACCTGGAACACCATTCACGATTGTGTGCAGGTATATTTAAGTAAGCAAGCATTTTATTTTCATAAAAAGTATTTTCATCTCTTAACCCAAGGGAGCAACAACAGGTGGAATCCAATCCAACATTTATGAGGGTTTCATAGGCCTATAGCAGTCTATTTTAAGGCCGAACACTACTCACTTCACTATCACCGCCAGGTATTGGTGGCAGGTGAAACCTGGGAACGTGATGGAGCGCACGACTGGGTCGGGTGGAACACTTTGTTCACCTCTAATGGAGGGATGTGGTAATGAAATAATATGCTTAGCATTCATTTAACAAATAGGCAAACGTTAAATAGCCTATAGTCCAGTACTGAGACGCACTGTTACGACTTACATGCTTAGTGGGTTAAGAATTCGTCGCAATATGCAAAGAGGCATACCTGTGTTTATATTCTGTAACGACACAGGTTACGTGATGAACTGATGACGATATTAATGACGTCATTATCCTTTACATCAGGTATCCCATGTGGTGATAATGAAACTGATGGCGATGCTAATTACGTCATTATCATTTACAACTACTAGCCCGTCCGATGAAAGCGATACTGAGGACGAAAACGCGGTACTCGTTTAATGGCAGTGAAGGAAAATATATAATAAAAATAATAAGGAGCATATAATGGTGAGTGATGGTGGTGACGAATGAAACCTATGTTCCATTCGTGACCATCTATGAGAGAATTATGGCGGGGATGATGATGACCTCAATAGCGAATGATGTAGGCCCCTATTGTTAATAATGTAAATGATGATAATTTTCAAGATGATGATTATATTTATGGTAGTTAACGCGAATGCTGTCATGATATCACATGTTCTTAGCACATGAGTACCAGTGGTGGTTCTGTTTCCTTACTTAAACCTTTTGCGATTTGAACGTTTTTCTCATCCTCTTTGTCCTTGTTCCTCCTTGAATTTTATGTCTGTAGGCCTACTATTTGTTGATTATTGATCGAATAAATAAATGAATGAATGAATAAAAAGAGTCTGGGGCGTAGGAAGGGGGAGAAGGTGAACTGGGAGCCCCGATGATTAGGTGAGGATGTGCTAGCTTGCAAAATAAGGTGATTTGAGGCGATTTTTAACTATTGAGCGTGATTCGTTCAGGGGAAAGACTGGGTAAGTATTTTTTTTTTTGGTAGGGCGTGCGCCCCCACATCCACCCCTAGATACGTCACTTATGATTACCCCAGTGGAACAAACAGAATACTATATACCAAAATATTGCAACAGTAATAAGTACGGTGGCTGAACGACAAGTACCCAATTTACTACTCCTGGGTGGAGATAGACAATTGTGGGTAGGACACAAGCGGAATACACAGCCAGTTTTTGACTACCCGCTGCACCAACCGAAGTTGGTGAGTTTCCTGATGATGGTGTAGATAAATAGGCCTATTACATAATGATTAGGAAGATGGCAATAATGACAACGAATGTGAATTGAAATTATGTATTTATTATTATAACGACGATAATTATGACGATGATGATGATAGGACCTACTGATGTTGACGGTGATGATAATGATGGTACCAATCAAGATAAGAATGATGATGATAAATGAAATGTATATAAAGATGCTGAGGATGATTAGCGCATGCTTCAGTATCTACGTCCCGTCCTTGTATTTCAAGGATGTAGCTCGACATGATTAGGGGTGGATTTAGGGGGTGTGGGCCGGCCCGCCCCCCCCCCCTTTTTGGGAGGTAAAAAAAAGGAGAAAAAAAAGAAAAAAAGAAAGAAAAAATGATAGCCCACAACGCCTCAAATTTTATTTTCGGGCGTCCAGAATTCGGACCCCCTAGCACACTATATACCAAAATATTGCAACAGTAATAAGTACGGTGGCTGAACGACAAGTACCCAATTTACTACTCCTGGGTGGAGATAGACAATTGTGGGTAGGACACAAGCGGAATACACAGCCAGTTTTTTAACTACCCGCTGCACCAACCGAAGTTGGTGGGTTTCCTGATGATGGTGTAGATAAATAGGCCTATTACATACCGTAATGATTATGAAGATGGCAATAATGACAACGGATGTGAATTAAAATTATGTATTTATTATTATAACGATGATAATGATGACGATGATGATGATAGGACCGACTGATGTTGACGGTGATAATAATGATGGTACCAATCAAGATAAGAATGATGATGATAAATGAAATGTATATAAAGATGATGAAGATGATTAGCGCATGCTTCAGTATCTACGTCCTGTCCTTGTATTTCAAGGATGTAGCTCGACATGATCAGGGGCGGATTTAGCCCCCCCCCCCCTTTTGGGAGGTAAAAAAAAAAAAGAAAAAAAGAAAGAAAAAGAAAAAAATGATAGCCCACAACGCCTCAAATGTTATTTTTGGGCGTCTAGAACTCAAAAATTTCGCGGGGACATGCCCCGGACCCCCTAGGACATTGTTGTCTCGATCGGCCCAAATTTCCTCCCCCCCCCTCCTTTTTGTACATCTCTGGATCCGCCCCTGATGATCGTAGGCCTAAAACTTCGTAACTGCAAAGGAATCTAGAAACCACAACCGCAACCACATGAAGCTGGCCGAAAAAAGAAACCCCCAACCACACGCTGACCTATATATCGAGAGGATCTGAAACAAACCCATCGATTCCTGATCCAGGCAATCGCCAGGAGATTTTACCGAGAGTTATCGCATTTCCCGAGGAAAGCTGACGAACAATCGCAGGCTGTCATTGACAAAAATCTGTGGATCAACTTGTAATTGGAGTGGCGTATGTGTAGATGACCATTTGACGAAGGCCGAACGGAGTGCCTCTCACTTAAGTCCTGACCACTTCACGAGACCATCTGTAGAGGAAATGACTTTCTCCCGTCGGTTGGTCCCTCGACAGGTCAAGAACATAGAAAATCGAATCTAGATATATTTAGCCACGCAATAAACCAATTATCTTGTTTTGGTAATAATCCAGGGTTAGAATTAAAAAGTTTGCACGTCATAGTTTATATGAATATTTATTCATGTAGGCTTGCTTAAAATGTCAACATCCTCCGATATCCCTCCTGCGATTAGTTATAATGCAGAGCAACGCATAACCGGATAATAACGCTGTACGCGCGACTAACTCATGCAACCGGTATATTACCGTACTATAAAACTAAACTAGTTTATCATTTTGGCCAATGACCTCTCATCAATTGAATTCGACTGATCCTTGACAGACGGTACCAATAACTGTTTTATTCTGACGTCACTTGTCACTTGACCATTAGTCTTATCATAAATCTGGGACAAGAACTATGATGATGACATTATGTTCCTAACAGAAACATAATAATTGGAGTAAAGGTAACTAGTTTGTGTTTGGCGGAAATGATAAAAGGTAGTCAGTTGTCTATAGTGTTGATTATGGTGATAATGACGGCGTCGATGATGATGATTAAGAAACAAATAATTATGATAAATAGAGGGTGTGCTCGCTTCGCTCGCTTTACCGCTATTGAATGTCGCGATTAGTTTCGATAAAAAAAACAATAGGACCACTAAAAGAAGATAGGTTGATATGTTGCATGTTATATGGCTCAGTTATTTTCTTTACGTAATGTCAGAAATGCAGTGGTAGTTCAGGTACAGGTTTTGATTGCAGTTTATTATCATTTTTCAAAACATAAAAATATTTAGAAACCACTAAAATGTGTTTACTGTAACCCATTGAAAGCCGAAAGCCGACTGTGCTTGACGAAAATCGACCGTGTTTGGATGTTGCTCTTTTGGCGTTCCATATAAAGCCCACTCCTGTGAAAAAAGACTGTAGTCATGTTTTCCTTCAACTGAGCTGATTGGTATTACATTTACTCCATGTGATGGAGATTCCGATGATCTATGTTGTTATACTGTTTTTTTTTCAGATCGGTAGATTTCGAATTCCCAGACGTCATCTGAGGTCGTCGGTTTAGTAGGCCTACCGTGATTGTAGGCTCTTTAAAAGCGTAATTGTAATATAGATGATGAAGACGATGATGATGAGGGTGATGATGCTCATGTTGACGGCGACGACGACGATCATAATGATGGCGATATTAATATCGAACATTATCGTTTATCATTATTCTTACAAACACGTACGGTATGAAAACATTCGGACAATGAATGATCGTTATCACTAAAATACGAAATTGATGTGGCAGTTTGTAATCTCAGCAACACTGATTTATGCGTATATAAATGTAAACCAGCGGAGTGAATGAATTCTTAATGAATGAGTTGTAATAATTCAATTCAATTTATTAAAAAAAAAAAAAAAAAAAAAAAAACATTAGCGATGATGATGATGATGATGATGATGATTATGATGATATGCAGATGAATGATGATGGTGTTGTGCGGCGATGAATAATTAATATTGATACGATGGTGATGTTGAAAGTATGAAAGACCATTATATATAGGCCTAAAAAAATACAATCGGAATAAAATCAGGAGTGCGGAACAAGGACTTAGTTAGGAAGGGCAAAATCGTCTAAATCCGCACCTGTAAATATTTTGTGCCTAAAGTTAATATAGGTATACGGATAAACTGTGTTGTTTATTCACGAATCATTGGTTTACTGTTGTGTTTTCATTTGTTGCATGGTCTTCGGATGTCACTGTTACTTCGAGTTTTTGGGCTTTTTTTGGTTTAGGTTCAAGAGGATGAAGCAGGTGTCGGGTTGAAATATAAGATGTCCAGCACAGTAGTTGAAGACATATCAATGTTAGCCATGAGCAAGCGCGCATGACGAACGACATTTTGTTTTTTAAGTTATTAATTTGATTTCAACTACAGTACTGAACCTCCCTGACTTGATATTTAGGCCTAAAATATTTATAAGCATATATTGAAACGCACACACGTAATGCAGGTACAAACATTATAATATAAAAAATATCTATATATTATACAAATCGTTTTTGTTTGAATGCCAGCAGTAACGGCAATCCAATCAACGGCCGCCGTGGATTCAATAGGTCGTCGCATCCGTATTTTTTTGCAGAACGCGTCCTTAAACTGAGCATTCGAAGTTTCAAAGTAATAGCCTCTTTAGGTGACCACAACACTAGTTGTAAATCTTTATTCGTTATGGGATTATGCAATCAAATCCAAAATTTCCTATTAAAAACGACAATATTAACCAACTGGTAAGTGGAGGATCCATGCGTGTGCGCACACGCGCCACTTGAAAATATATGCAGCTTGTGGTCTATTTAATTTGACTTGACCGACAACTTAAGTTCCAGTAATTTAAGCAAGTACCCGTTTTCAATAATCTTCACAAAAAGATCTGCCGACAAAGACCTTAAAGTTGAACTCAAGGAAAGATCACGTCATTGAATATTATTCTTAAGATCACATTAGCTCTTACAGAAATGTGCATTCTGGTGCGTTTAAAGTTGTAGACGCGCTCGCGCAGGCCATTTGATATTCAATTTGCAGGTGAAAATTGAGGTGAAATTGATTTTTGAGGATTATATGCATTTTATAATAATAAATTTATGGCTGTAAATAACTCACACACGCACATATGCTCTACTTCCTAATTCTGGTTGAAAACAGAACAAAAATAATTTCAGAACGAAAGATATAAAATACAGAGACAGGGTTTAATACAAGCAATTCTTTGAGTTATGTTGAGAACAGGACAATTCTGGAGTTTACAAAGCTAACTGTAGCTTTAGTTTTAACATAATAAATTACACATGAAAAGATTCCATAGAACGCATTTGAGAAAGAAAAAAGCAATGCTTCTGAGAGACCAAGTACAGCAACACGGTATGTAATAGGACCGTAGAAAGATTTTATTAGGCCTACTCATCATCATCAGTTGAGCGAACTGGGAACTTCGAAAAATGAAATTGTCTTGGTCATTTCGTTCAAGTTTCATTGATTCGCAAGAAATTAAAAAACTTACACACCATTTTAATCAATTTTTATTTTTGTACATTGGTATTCTAGTGGTCTATTTTGGACCACGGCGGTTCGGTGGTTGAGAACCAGAGCACTAAAGCCATTTAAACGAGTAAACTAAAAAGGAAAAGAGAAGGGGATCGAGGTGAAGAAAAAAAGGGATCCGTAATATGATGAGTTAATGGACCTTTTTAGTCAGTAGTTATATACTCCGAAAAGGTGCATTATGCGCATTGAACGATAATGACGCAATGACGAATTTACTGTAAATAAACCACAAATATCGTGAATGTTTGGAATCACATTTAATCATGTGTTTTATTCCACGCAGACATACTCTATATTTATATATATATATTTCTACATCGATGACACAATTAGCAAGGCATTCCATCAACTGCTTATACTATATTTTATACGATAAACATAATTCTCTGCACAGAGGGCAAAAAAATCAATGACTCTTGTTAACGTTATTTCAATGTTTCATAATTGCTAAAGCATTTAAGAAAGTACGATATGATTTCGAATAAGCGATGGCCTAACGAAGATACAGTAATTATTAAACCAATGGACTTTCGCTAAGCTCCGCCCCTTGGCTGTTCTTGCTAAAGTCTCAGAAAACGACAGGAGCTTTCGATTGCACGACGACGGTAGGACGTAGAACGTAATGACGTCACTAAAAGTCATCTGCGCATGCGATTACGTTCAGTGCTCGCCGTGTGTATTCTAGGACACAAATTTGGCCAACTACGTATGCAGAAAAGGTAGGACGCTCGGCAGGACGGTCACGCATGAGTGATTCCGCTCTAGCGTCGCGCAAATGCGCGTATTGCTGTCCCTGTTCCGATTGGTCAGTTGTTAAGTTTGATGGACACTCCAGAAATGTCCATTATCAATCAAAGGACTGTTTACATGACGTCACATGAATATTAATATTGGACATGGTATCTTGATTGTGATATGTAATTTTGTTTAAAGTAATGTATTCCTCTCCGTCATAAAGTGAATAATGTAACCAGTTATTAGGTAAAAGAAAATGCATTTTTAACTTAAAATCCACTTAAGTATCGCATTAGCTGCCTTTCAATAAATTGTATAAAAAGGAAAAATATTATACAAGTAACATTTAATAATTATATTCAAATAATAATCAATATTATTGATACTTAATGTTAATAAGCCAATTCATAGTTAGAACTGTGCATGCTAATATCTGAGGTCAATCAAAAAAACCTATGTTGTGTGTATGGTGTTGTAGATTAAACTTTATATAAGCATGCGTAGGTCTAACTTCGAATTGGCTTATTGATAATGAATAATATATACTATCATTGTGGTTTAATTAAATTTCATATAAAAATATTGGTCAATATGGAAAATACATATCTCTTAAAACAATAAAATATGATAAATAATAAAAATAGGCCTAATAATAACCATTATGATGATGTTGATGATGATGTTGATAATGATGACGATAACGGTGATGACTTGTGATGATGATGATGATGATGGATTTGTTTCGTTTTGTCTCTGGATGCTAAAGGACAATAGCCTAATTAGCTGCAGACTTGATTTAGCAAAATACTTATGACTTGCACCGTATCACTAACATTGACTCACAGTTAATATTATCACATTTTCGTTACAAAAAATAAATTCTTCTGCAAAACATGATACCATCCACGGAATAAAAAGCGCAAAGGCACGTTAGAGGAATCATAACATTTGATATGTGGTGCACCTTCATCGTTGATTTGTTACTCAATACTACTACAAATACGCTACAGTAGAACGCATTGTAACCATTTTGGATTCTATTAAAGCTGATCTTCATATACTTGTAGTTAATATATCAACTATGGTTGTCCTCAATGGAGTAATGGTGAGCGAATATAAAATGCAATGTGTTCAAATCCAAAAAAGTACAATATGTTTCCTCAAAAGCAAAAATCAACAGGTCTACAATGGCGTCTACTGAAGGGGTTTACTCCAAATTAAGTTAATGATTATAATCATCATTGAAAGGTAACACAGAGTAATGTTCATCCACTGATAATAACCCGATAAAAAATGTGTCACAGATAAATGCAATCTTTGGTTTCTTGAAAAGGAAGCGACACATATTACACAAAAACAAATAACTTGTTAAACAAGGAAAATGATACTTCAACAAATTGACTTTAGTTCTTCTATATACAACTCTATGATACAAGCATACCATTTTAAATGGCGCCCTCTATATCAATTGATATCGCATTACTTCAATTGCATAAGTAGGAGATTTTATCAAAATAAAAGCATGCTTCCACAAGTCCGTGTCTTAGGATCACATTTGATATTCAATTTGCAGGTGAAAATTGAGGTGAAATTGATTTTTGAGGATTATATGCATTTTATAATAATAAATTTATGGCTGTAAATAACTCACACACGCACATATGCTCTACTTCCTAATTCTGGTTGAAAACAGAACAAAAATAATTTCAGAATGAAAGATATAAAATACAGAGACAGGGTTTAATACAAGCAATTCTTTGAGTTATGTTGAGAACAGGACAATTCTGGAGTTTACAAAGCTAACTGTAGCTTTAGTTTTAACATAATAAATTACACATGAAAAGATTCCATAGAACGCATTTGAGAAAGAAAAAAGCAATGCTTCTGAGAGACCAAGTACAGCAACACGGTTGCAGTAGCATTATTTTCTTTAAGCGTAACCATGGAGGTATAAAATTGTTTTATACCTCCATGGCGTGACTAACATTTCATGGGAGTTGTGACTTTGATCTTTTCCAAATCTCCTGCCGCAGTGTAATATCAAAGTGAGCTATGTAGACGATGCCGAGTACCGCTGTAGTAGGTTCGTGTGGCACCGGTCGCAGACCCTGACTGGCTTGGCAGACGAAGGAAGTGGCATACAGTTGTCCGAGCAGCTATTGCAATAAATACCTCCACAGTTACGACAATGGTGCTGTAAGAGAAATCGGTATGATAGGCACTTCTATGTTTATATTTGTTATTAAAAAAAACAAATTACAATAGTAAGAGTATATAATAGTGATTATAATTTTTTTGATTGATAAAAAAAGATAATACAGTTTTTCTAATTAACAGTGCTTAGACCATATGGGGCTTGCCATGCTAACAACAGTATCACTGACCAAAACTAGAAAATTGATTTTTTTATTATATTCATATTTTCCACATTAGGCAAAATAAAATAAATTGTTTGTTTGCCCTTCTTTTTTTAAAAATGATAAATAGGGGCGGGTGGAATAAGTTTTTTTTTTTAATTTCGTTTAATTTTTTAAAATACTCATCACATGGAATAAAAAAAAAAACCACAGAGGCCTAGAATGGCAATATCTTACATCAGACAACAATTTTAGACTCATTTGTAGGGCATCTGGCAAAAAATACAGATAAATTCACTCACATTTTTTTTTTTAATTTGTAAAGAAAAAAGCTAAAAAAACCTTTTTTTATGTTCTTTTGTTTTTCTACCCCTATTTTTTCAGTGAGTTAGGGGTGGGTGGAGGAGGGCAAACAAACAATTTTTTTTTGTTTGGCCTGATAAGTTTACAATACAATACTGCCACATTCCTATGTTAATTACTCAGTTTAAAATGTAGCGATAGTATGCTGGCCTTGTGATAGCAAGCCTTATATATATATTGTCTATGCCTGATTTATGCTTACCTTACGGCGGGCAACAGAGAACGGTTTTTCACAAGACATACATGTGAGGGAGTCCTTGTCACTTGTCCATACACGTTTGTCTAGTGCTGTTACTGCTTCCTTCATATCGTCCATTTTCAACTGTGACCTTCAAGAATAATACAAAGCAAAATATAAATGGTACAATAATTATCAGCAAGTATTTATCATATATAAAGGATATGTTCTCACACTTCTGCTAACGGTTAGCAGGATCCGGATCCTGCTAACCGTTAGCTGCCATGCCTCCATACGAGAAGATCCCGATCCGGATACCAAGAATATGATGATCGAATCACTGGCCAATAAGTAACTGGAAATTGTAAACGCGTATGTGTAACGGTTAGTGCTAACCGATCGGGCATTCTCACGCAGGTGCTAATGGTTAGCGCTAACAGTTAGCTACTAGGGCTCTCGTGAGAACCAAACCTTATAACTCTGTTCTATGTAAACAATACATTAACACGTTTGCTGCCATGGACGTGGGTTCACGTTCGACAGGGTTCAATCAGGGTGCCAGGAAGCAAGTTGACATCCACACCTGTCTAAACAAACCACTTTGCACGTAAATTTGCTGGGAGTCATAGTACTGTATGTTTGTTCATTTTTCATTACAATTGATGGGAATGATTTTCATTATGCCTTGGCGTGTCGGATGAAACTAGGAAAAAGGTTTGGCAGTCCACATTTTAACAATATGATTGTAAAAGTGTATGGTAGTAATGAACATTGGCTCAATTAAAAATAATCTTTAGTATAGCTTTAAGTTTAAACTTAAAATAATTTAATTTGTTCTTAGTAAAAAAAAAAACACTTTTACAGAGACTACAGTACTTAATAAGACCTAGAGAGGGCAGCATACAAAACACTGATGGAAAGGAAAATACACTTTTTTAGATACAAACTTAAAAATAAAAAATATAGATAAAAACTGTATATAAAAAATAGACAATGAAGAATCACAAAATAATAATTAACATGACGAATGATTCAAAATGATGACAGCATTTTAAAAAGGAGTAGCTAAGTTTTGTTTTTGTAAGAAGGAACTGGTACGGAGTCTAAATGTACTATTAAATATAATGTAAAGAGTGCAGTAAACACACATAAATAATTAAATTTAAAACAAAAACAGGAGTGATGATATTTTCCTGATGCAAACACATCAAAAATAAAATAAAAAAATTAAATAAATATAAATAAGTCAACAAGAAAAAAACAAAAAAAAAACCAAAAAAAAAACCACCCCAAAAAAGCAAATAAATAAATAGAATTAATGATTAAATGAATGACTTAATAAACAGAAAAGAAGAAAACTCACTCGCTTAGTTTTGAACCCATTTCTGCTAAAGCTAGCTCCTGTGCTTCGCAGGTCTCTTGCAGGTGGCTGTGCTCGTCGGATACCTTTACATACTGTTCTCTTAGGCTAACTAGCTCGCCAACATCTTTCTGAAGTTGTGCAACCAAGTCTTTCTCAATACTCAAATCTTTTTGTAACTGGTTTCGCCACTCGCGCTCAATTTTTAAGTCTGTTTCTAGAGCCGAGCTAAAGAAAATGTTAAAATGAAAAGTTATTATAACCATTATCAGCAATTGATTATCATAATGGCTGAGAAAATAATGTAATTAATTAATGTTAATCGTTGCATAAAATAATAAAATAAAATAATAATATGCAGGTGGTGTAATAGAGAGTATATACTAAAAACTCTACATGTTTTACAACAAATATATGGATTTCAAGTTTAACATCAACAGAAGAATAAACATTTGTATCTTTACATCCAACGACATAGAGAAGAAAAATATAAGTAAATGTGTGGAACAAAACAACAAACTTACAAATACAAAACTTCAAAATGCTTAACATTTGGGGCTTGTCATGCCAAAACCCGCATAGATAACCAAACAAGAAAATTGACTTTTCAATTCATATTCTCAACATTGTAAGCTTTAAGATGATGGGCCATAATACTGCAATCGACTTACTATTGCCAAAGCTATGAGTAAATGTATTATGGCTTCTCTGTATACAATACTGTCGTTTCTTATACTGATTACTCAGTTTAACATTTAGTGACAGTACGCTGGTTTTGGGATGAGCCTCATTCAGTATGACATGATTTTAAAGAATTGAAACAAAAATAAAATACTGATCAATGCAGCTGATGTCACAAACATTAGATATACTGCCACCCAAAATACTAGAAAAACCTCAAAATATTACTCATATAAAAGCACATCCCAACTTTCAATAAAATCACATATTGAAAAAGAACACACATTTTAAATGATTTAAACAATTTTTAATGTATTACTACAAAATCTTTACATTAGATGTCCATGAAGACTGGATAGGCAATATTCTTAATTGTTCTAATTTCAGTTGAAAGCTGAAAACTTTCTAAAACATGCAAATAAGAAATTCACTTTTCTATTTTCAAGTTATATTATTTAGGTGGCAACATATCTTAACATCTATTTTTCATTCAAATGTCAAAAACCAGGTTGTTTTTAGTAAAATGATTAAGGAAATGAAACCGCTAATAAGATAATATAGTAATACTGAGTACAACAAATTTCCACTCAAACTGCAGCTGTAAGTCCTAACCAAACTGCCACTCTTACTCTTGGGAACTCACCGTTTAAGGTCCTTTTCAGCAAGAGTTTGGCCGAGTTTACGAGCAGTTTCCATAGCAGCCTGCTTATCATTGTCACATATCTTTAGCCTGCATGCATATATAGGAGTATGGAAGGCAAAATATAAAAAAGAAAAAAAAGCAGAAATGGAATTACTAAAGTTACAATAAAAACAAATGTTACATACATTTAATGAATGAAGTCAACAAAAAGTGTAGGGAGGGTCGTGCAGAAGGGTGAGACTTGCAGGGGTGGTTAGGGTTCAGCAACTTTTTTCGCAGTTGTTTTCAGAAAATGTGTGAAATGCCATTCTTTTTGTATACATTATCTATGAACACATATTAAATTTAAAAATTAAAGGCTGAGTACAATTAATATTGATGTAGTTCATGACTTGTGCTTTATACTGTTGAAAAGAAAATCATCAATTATATTTGTCAGTAACATCAGTACCATCACCTTTATTATGTATCTTTAAACATCATCTTCAAAATAATCAAAATTCTTTTTTTCTTTTTTTTTTATGAAACGAGGTCAGGTTTTTAGAACAAGTTGTTAATGCTGATAACATAAACTACAGGCATATCAAATTTTAATTAAAGTTTAATTAAGAATCCATGATGACTTTAATAAAGCATGATACACTAATGAACAATTTAAATGCAGTTTATTAGGTTTGCTTGGTACAGACAGTTCTATTACTTCACAAGGGGTAGGCACAGACCAGCTTTTCTTTCATACATTTTCAGAGAATTAGAAATACATATACCAAATACTTGATACTAAACATTTAAAATCAACTAGAACAGCTTAACACAATGGTAACATGCACAGGTGAGGTCATATAAAGGAATGCTAAATGGTATTGGGTCAGGTGGAAGATATTTAAATATGATGTAAATTACTATGCAAATCACACATAATTTATAGCACAACCTACCTTTCTTCTAATGCTTTTATGGTTGCTGCCATTTGGTTCGTCTTCTCCTCCAGTTTCACAACAATGTCTGATTTATGTTTAGCTGTACTTTCAAAACTCTGAAAAGAAAACCGTTGAATTATGTAATTATCCCTGATCAGACGGTGAGTTAAATGGCTGAGGGGTTAAGGCAGGGGCACCAAAAATGAACAGCCATAATATCGGTGCTGGTTCTGGCCAAAGGTTCAGGTGGTGGAACAAGTCTTCTTGGATAAGTACTATAAACTGCAGACTGAGAGTACACAATTTGGCTCATGTGCACTTTAAAGAACCTAGTACATCTTTCGAGACAAGTAAGGGGTTTATCAGGTAGCTCAGATATGAAGAGACCCCCAGGAGCTAAGTAAGTTACTGCACAAGCTTGTCCACCCTTGAGCGCTTTGGGACTTTGTTCGGTATAATGTGCTAAATAAATCCAACTACTGTACATTACATTACAAATTCCTAATAAAAATATAACTTTCAAAAAAACATACCTATAATATAATGGTTCAAAAACAAACCACATTTTTAGGATGTCTAGATGTTTGGTGTGATTAATCTGAGTTATAAATTTTAAATATTATCATCAAAAATATTATTGACAACCATCAATTTTCAAGTAAATATCAAGTTCTAACTTCAAAGACATTCTCAACCAGTGGCAGTGCCAGAATTTCCCCGACAGGTGGGCTGATGTCCTTGACAAGAAAAAAAGTGGACGTGGTCGGGCGTCGCTAAAAACCTTTCGAAATTTAGGGGTTCCAAAGGCTTATTTAATCGATTTTAGAGTCTATTAATATGTACAAATACATTTAATTTTTTTGAATTTTTTTTTCTCCCGACGAATCGTGGTTTTTCTCCCCGACGGGGAGGGGGGAACAGCCGCCCTGAAGGGGAGGGGGGTGGCTATAGCCCTGCACAGCGCACCAATAGTGCCTCAACTGTTCTCAATTAACTAACCTGTAACTTTGTAAAGAGATCTAGATTGATGGCCTTGATATCTTCAAGTTGTTTCCTAAGGGTGACTATTGTGTCTTGTTTTTCATGGATGTCCTTCTCCAGTAATTTCATTGCCATCTCCATTTCTGTCTTCATACTCTTCTGCAATTCTAGGTCCCGCTCAAGTTCCTATAATAATGCAAAACAAAATTAATTTTGTTATAGGTACTGTTTTTCACCTGCAAATATGCTACACAGGAAGGCCTAAGGATTAAGTCACAACAAAAATATAGAACAGATATTAAAACAGACATTACAGTATTGCTGGACAAAATATACTGTAAGCTTCAGTATTTTGAGAACATTTAGATAGTTATTATGTTCACTTTTTATTTTATTTTTATTTTATTTTTTCGGCTTTACACTGGCAACAGTACAAAAATATATATATAAATAGAAATTCCAACTTTTAGATAATCCTAAAGGTCCTGTATCTTTTATTTTTTAATTTTATTGATTTGCTGTATTGGTATTACCTGGAAATAAATACAATATAATAGATAAATATTACATTATATATTATTATAACCATTATGATTTCAAATTCTGGGAGATAATTGATAATGCAATAGTAAAAACTTGTAAAAGCATGCAAGTATCATCATGAGTTTGCGGAAGGTGCTTTATTTCGGGAGATTCTTGCTTGCTTGTGGGAGTGTGGAAGGACATCCAGCAGATTTCAAGGAGACTCTATTCCTGGACTCTGCTGGGGATTTGGGACTGCTAGGCCCTGAGCTTGGTCATTGGATTAATTACATTAATGACATTTCAGGGTAGCTAGACATCAACTTGTCCTTCCTCTATTAAAATATTACTAATACTGACACTAACATTATCATTACTCAATATACATGAAATACTGTACACAAAACAGTACATTAGCTAATATTTCTATGTGTAAGTCATACTGTATATACACCATGATTTATTATAGAAAAAAATTGCACTAACATCACTATTTGTTTTATAGTGGTCTTTAAGTGGAGGGAAAATTTTCAGTTGGGTCTGCCAAAACCATGGTCTTTGGTCTATAAATCGAGGGAATCTAATTGGAGGGAACAGCTAATGATAAAAGATAGGCATTCATCTGGGGGTCACAGAAATGTGGACTTTAATTGGAGGGGTCATTAATTTGAGGATACCTACACTTGTTTTGGAAGATAAATCTGGGAAATCTGTTTCAATAAGTTTTCTTCAGACATCTAAATATATTTTGCTGTGCATGGTGATAACTATTATGGTAAAAGCATGCAAATATCATCATGTGGGAGGTGGTTTATTTCAGTAGATTCTTGCGTGCTTGTAGGAGTGCGGAAGGACTTCCCTGGAGACTCTATTCCGGGACTCTGCTGGAGACTTGGGACTCCTGGGCCCAAAACATGGTTCTTGGATTAATTTAAACATTTCAGGGTAGCCAGGCATCAACTTGTCTTTCCATTAAAATATTACTAAAATTCCCACAAACATTATCACTATTCAATATACACAAAACACTGTACACAAAACAGTACATTGACCAATATTCCTATGTGTAAGTCATATATATCATAATTTATTATAGAAAAAAAACTTGCGTTAACATCGCTATTTATTTTATAATCGTCTTTACTAGAGGGTCTGCCAAAACCATGGTCTTTGGTATCTAAATAGAGGGAATCGTTAATTGGAGGGAATAACTAATGATAAAAGATAGGCATTCAACCGGGGGAGGGTTAATTAATTATGGTTAATATGAGAAAAAATAAATACCGTATCAGGGGCTTACATTGCGTTCCTGTGTTTGACGTTGTAAATCTTCTTGCGCAGACTTGTAAAGTGAATCTAAGCCAGCTCTTGATGTGTTGTACGCTTCTCTCTCAACGTCCATGTCAGCTCGTACAAGCTACAAAGTACCAACATAATTTTACCAACATATACTGTAGTAAGCATTACAACAGTATATATAATCATGGAGGAATAAAATATTATATTTATTTTACCAATATTATAAATGCCATCCCAAAACCAGCGTACTGCAGCTGATTACAAATGGAGTAATTAGCATAAGAATGTTGCAGTATTGTATACTTAGTGCAGAGAAGTCATAATAATTTTTTTTTATGTATTGATGTTAAGAGCTTTGAACGACCAACGTACTTTCTGTAAGGACAAAAATTAATTTGATTCTGATTCTGATAACAATAGTAAGTCAATTCCAGTATAAAGGGCCCATCGTTTTTAAGCTTACAATGTGGAGAATAAAAATAAAAGTTAAAGTTAATTTTAATTTTTTAGGTTACTGATGTTGGTTTTGCGATGGCCGCCTCATATATTTTACCAATATTATATATATTTAATTCCTCCATGATATAATAGAATTTTTGTTTCTAGAGATGTACTAAACAACTTTTCTTCTTAATTACTGAACATATTATTAAACATATTCAATAAGGAAAAACGATCTACCCAGTGTGATATTATCTATTGGAAAATGAAAATGTAAAAGGAAAGCATGATATGCAACATAGAATATAGAGAACTTTAAAAAAAAACAATAGTAACCTCAATTTTTTTAGATACATCTTGAGAGAGTCTTGCGTTTTCATTCTGATACTTTTCATTCATTGCTTGAATACTTAACAGGTTGTTATTGGCAACAGCAAGCTGCAAAAAGCAAGGTAAGCATAATACAATCGATACAATTGCATCTTTATTATTTACTATGTAAACATAATAATAGTTTGGCAGCAGCAGTAACCATAACAACAAGCAGCAGCAACTATAGCAACAATTATATCAATACGGAAACACATCCAGCTGTTAATTGGATTACCACATTTCTATCCTCTACATATACAGTCTGTATGTCGCATATGTGCCTAATTAAGAGTATGTGTCTGAATATCTATATTACCAAGAAACTATTATATTAAACCACCAAGTCCCCCTGAAACACGCACCTCTCGCAAATAAGGCGTGCACTTTGGCCTTAAAAAATTATAATAAGCACTGTGGCGCTTATTGTATCATTTCCAGAAACATGACATCATGGTATGAGCTAAATGCTACAGTCTTTTCACATTTTACTTGGTTATATAAAAAGAAATGCGAAAATATAACTGAAAAAAAGTTTTCCTACAAAAGGGTCTCCATCTATATAGTCAATCATTACATTTAAAAAAAAAATCCCTTCCAATTTATCTATATCAGCCCTACACAGTACCATTCTGAAAGTATCAAAATTTTTTAAAGGGTTTGATGGAAGTACGCAAGATAGAACACCCTACCTCTTGCTTCATATGCGAATTGTTCTCCTCAAGGCCTTTGACCCGGATCTGCAAGGAACTTATCTGAGCATTGAGGTGACGATTCAACTCTTCCAGATAATTCTTCTGATCCAGGATGGATGAGATATCAGATGTCTGTGCCGGGCTTCCACCATCAGTAGCAGAACTGCAATGAACAAGAGGAAAGACTGAATAATTAATTAAGAAATTAGCTAGTAACCAAAAGTACTAATGCATGTATCTCTCATGTTCCAATATAAAGTGTGTTCAGATATTTTCATTTCTGAAAATTAATAAAAAGCAGGACTGATCCAGAGAGGGAGGCTGAAAGTGGGGCAGATTGAGACAACACTACCCTAAGGGGTTCCGGGATAATGCATACCCCCACAAAAATAACCTCTGAGGCATTTCAATTATTTCTTTTTCTTTCTCTTTTAATTTCCAAAAGGGAAGCCAGGGCCAGCCCGCCCGGCTCCCCCCTAAATCTGCCCGTGTAAAGATAAAACTTAAATTTCAATTATAAGAACATTTATATAGTTTTATATATAAGTGTACTATTGATTTTTGGGTAATAAATTGTCAATATATAGTATAAATAAATATATACATATACATAAGCATATATAATATATACATAAGCATGTACTGAAAATACTAACATGCACATATGCATGTATGCATAAGGTATGTATAATATAATTATTGATAGGATCAATAATTTAATGTTTAATTCACAGTCCACTTTATAGTCTTAAAACTATTGGGGGCAGAAAACAACATAAACTATAAACACAACACAATAATAATTCTCTGTAATACATTGCCATTAACATTAAGAACAAATATATATTGTCAAACGCCATACCAGGCTCCTGTCTCCTCTGGTTTGTCTAAGTAGTTACCATCTTTCATAAAAACACTCATGTCAAGAACAGATGGGGCAGAATCAAGGTCGTCCCCCTTCAGGTACAGGTTGCAATCAATCACGTTGAGGCCGACAAGAAGCCCCGCAATGACAGCCGCTTCCTCCTCCATCAAAGCAGCCCCTGGCTCGTAAAACTCACTGAGAAGAGAAAAAAAAAGTCAGATAGTGAGATGTTATTGAATGGTCATTTGGAAATTAATATAATAATCTATATTTTATCACCATGTATCAAAACCAGTATATATTTATACACTTTATTTACAATTCCTTAAGAGCAAAGTTTGGAGCAAGAGCCAATTTTTTGATAGTACAATTAAAAAGCAAATTGAAAAGAAAAAAACAAAACAAACAACGACAAAAAATATTAACAAATAACTATATTAACCGGCAGTAGAATTTAAGATGGGTTACTGGTTGAAAAAAGCAAGGATTTCAGATATAGATTAACGAAAGGAAAAACAGTATCAATAAAGAATGAGAGAATTTCTGAAGATTAATAGGGCATGTCATACTTTTTCAGAGACAGTTTGCATGAATTACGTTGTATACTAATTAATATGTTAAGTGTACAAAATTGTGAGGAAGGGCAAATGGTAGGGTGGCACTGCCCTCTAGACCTGTCTACACTGCATTTTCAAAGCAAGAGTTGTGTAAGACTATTTTGCCACCTACTACATCATCACTGACAGTGTTCTTCTTAATCTGGAAGTTGAGGGCCTCTGGATCCATATCTGACTGACAAGGCCCCAAAAGATTCATCAAATCAATAGGCCTAGAGCAAAATATTCAATTAATTTTAAACTGGAATTGTTAAAGGAAACGGGTAATTGCTGCGAGTAAGATTAAGGTTGAGGTTAGCAATTTTTTTTATTGATGACACCATGGCTGGATACGGCACTGTTAATGTTAAAAACATGTCTTCTTTTTGATGAATATCGGTAAATGAAGAAGGAATATAGTAAACAGAACTACCAATACATTTTGTGTGGAAAAGATAATTTCAATGTAACCTTGTTGAATGAAAAATACTAATACGTATTCATTAATTAAGCATTATTAATAATATAATTAATACTTAATATAATTAAACAGCATTTAAACAATATTATGTGTAGTTTGGGCTTTGAAATTCACTGTAGTGTTGACGAGCCATAATCTTCTCTAGGGAAGGACACTGAAGCCAACATATGCTCATTATTAACATTAGAAATTAATATGATACTAACTTCATTTAATGCGTTTTAAATGAGTTTGAAAAATGAGCAAATCTAAATTGTATGATTAGGGAATTTTAATTGTTTATCGAAGGTAATGCAGTATTTCTTTAAATTTTAATTAATAATCTTGGTACAGAATTATTTATCTCAGCAAAAACTAAAAGTATAATAATTTTGGTAGCAGATTAAAAATGTCTCAGATGACATCTGTTGACAAATGGTCTGTCATTAACACATCTCCTTGGCTATATGTCACCACTTGAAGAGCTAAGACAGAGACGAAAGGTTTCTAGCCAGAAGTAATACAGTAGAATTAGTAGAAGCAGCAGTGATGTATCTATTTGCCTTAAGATCATAAAAGACATTGCATATTCTATTAAAGGTAAGATAGTTCTGCACCTTCATCACTTATTCGAAATTGCATAAATACAAGCAACGGATGCAGACAATTGATAAATATCTAAAACTTGATAATTATGATGACAGCCAATTCAAGAGAAGTAAGGAAGTTGGCCACAGATAGAAAAGGGTGGAACCTGATTACATAGTGTGTAAATACTGTCTTCAGATGATAATTAAGCGAGCAGATGATGATGATTAATATAAGTAATTGGAGTGGACCTGTAGCTTGTAAGTTAAGACACTTGCCAGTGGCGGATTCAAATTTTAAAAAATTAAAATTAAAAATAAAAAAAAAATGGAAAAGAAAAAGAAATTGAATTGTAAAATTATTGGACTGTGGGTGATAGGCAAATAACATTGGGAGTTGCAGTGATGACGTCACGACTAACTTATAATAAATATTATATGTGTGCTCGTATATGGTCATGACGATGTCATAATACAGTACATCGAAATATGGGCAGATTACTGTTATTTGTCACATGAACTTTGATAGTGTGAATAAAGGTCAAGCTGTATTATCAGACTTTGTTTACAAAAAAATAATGGACCCTGTTGGAATCCTAATGGTACCCCAGCTAAAATCACTGTCCACACTGTCCAAGCTCAAATAAGAAATAAATTAAATTAAAAAGAGTTTAAATACAGTTATTACTTTTACCTGAGAATGTCTTTTCTTTCGATCAGCGCTCGGAAGTAATCAGCAAGTTTTTTCTGCATGAGTGCCAGCCTCAGCCAAGCTCGACTGCGACCGATATTTGTCCTGATATTGACACACATAAAATAAGGAGGAAGCAAAGATAAATCATTATTATTAAGTATTTATAATTTATTACTTGTCGAGAGCAATCATTAATAAAAAAAAAATCATTAATTCATATGTTATGGTTTTTAAATTCAACATATTATTTTTATAGTATGGATATAAAAACATATTGAAATCCATACTTTAATAAATATATTTTATTAACACCATTAAGACATAACAGTCAATACATTCATTCACCTATGAATCAATATATTATTATAAAAAAAAATTATAATAACAACTTAAATTATGAAAAGACTAACAATATAAATATATATATATATTAATGCTTGTAGTACACAAAGTATATAGTTCTGAAAAGAACTGTTGTTGCTGGTTGAGAATATCTCGACGTTTCGATTGAGTTGCTTTAATCGTCTTCAGGAGAATAATATCTGCAGAAATCCCAAAACAGTGAAATACTTTGTTTTGGTTGGTGAGACTTGTATAAGTATATTTATACAAGTTGGTGAGACTAATATAAATATATCAATGGATTGTTGACATGTCTCATACATTGGCATTCAATCATATTGACATCCACGATCGACCCAAATGCCTCAGTCATCCATCCATGAATCCATGACTTACTTTAATCCCGGTAGATTCCTGACACTGTCCGTAATGTCCTTGGCTTCCGGCATAATCTTCTCTACTACTTCCAGAGCACTCCAAAATTCCTTCTTCTTTTCCAGTACAAATTTCTTACCTAAAATTAAAAAAAAAAATGTTATAATATTATAATTAATCATTAAGTATATAACAACATAAACATCAATACATTGCAATGCTGTAGACTACATGTATAATAGTACTGCCAACACCAAAGAAATGAGGATAATGATGATAATGAGATGACAAGGATGAGAATTGATTATCATGACAATGCTAAGGAGGTTGATGATTATCTTAAATTTGATGATGTGATTATACTAAACAGATAATTATGGTGTTCTATGCTCATGATGATGATAATAATTATGATCATGATGAAGATGATGAAGGAGATGATAATGATGATAATGATAATGACAATGATAACAACAATGATGATGATGAATTTGATGAAAATAATACAAATGATAATGTAATGATGAAATGAAAACAATAAACTGGGTCGATATTCCAAATACATACTTCACCCCTCTAAAAATGCTACTATCTGTACACGTTCAATTTTCTTCACAAGTTATAACTATGTAATTGCTTTGAAAGGTAAACCAGATATATGATTCCTGGCCACACATTACTCTGCATGCAAAAGGACATAAACCTTTACACATCCACAAGTGTATCAGAATCATGTGTGGTCCACCCACCCTTTTTGCAACTATATTTTACAATTCACAGGTGCAATGTTTATTGTACAAGTTGCACATTAGCGCAAGTACAAATTTATGTACCCTGGGAATTGCAGTAAGTAGAGCGTGGACAGCTATGGTGGTTACCTAGGAAGTAACCTTGAATGCAAGAGTAAATTTCCTAAGACCCAAATACTAAAAGGTTTCCAACTGGTGTGATCTAATTATGTGATTTATTTATTACATTTGAAGGTATGTTATTCACTTAACTTTATTTTGGTTCAATTCCTCACCAATCGATTAATGCAATTTTGCCACCTCTATTGTATGCATAAACTCTTGAATATAGATAATTAATTTACCAGTATTGATTTTTTCATATAGTAAATGTGATTTTTGTGACATAATTTTGAGATATAATCTTGAATTAAGTGACCGTATGGTATTAGCAGAAATTGCATTTTTTGATCTGTGCATTTTAAAGTTTATAATACCAATAAATTTATTACCTGGGAATATCACAGTAAGCAGAGCGTGAACAGCTTTGGTGGTTACCTAAGAAGTAACCTTGAATGCAAGAGTAAATTTCCTAAGACCTAAATACTAAAAGGTTTCCAACTGGTGTGATCTAATTATGTGATTTATTTATTACATTTGTATTGTAGTCTTGTATTTTATGATTATTTTACTTTAGTTTAAACTTGGTTATAAATAAATAGTTTAATAATATAATAATGTTTAACTGATCTTTATAAATAAACAATTCAGTATTTTTCATTGATTTTCAACATATTTTTTTCCAGATGTAATAATAATATGTTTAATGTAATAATAATGATAATAATGCTAACTGATCTTTATTTAACAAATAATTCAATAGTTTAATAGTGATAATAACATTGATCCTTATAAATAAACAATTCAATAGTTTAATAATAATGATATTAATATATGTTACTGATCCTTATAAATAATTAAATAGTTTAATAATAATGATAATAACATTGATCATTATAAATAAACAATTCAATATTTTAATAATAATTTAATAGTTTAATAATATGATAATAATGTTTAACTGATCTTTATAAATAAACAATTCAGTATTTTTCATTGATTTTCAAAATATTTTTTTTCCAGATGTTACCAAATGGCATATTTCAAAGCTTGAAGCTGAGGTAATTTTCCAGCCATTAATAATGAGACTCTTGAATGATGTACTTGTGATCATTAACATAGTATGGTATTACAAGAGATTGAAACATGACCTTGGCTTTTACCGACTGCGCACCGCATTCAATCTGATGAAACATTAAAAATACCCAGTTGATTGCCGGACTAGAGTATTTCATAAAAAATTACAATGTTGTTGATGATTTATAGGAATTGTATTGATAAGTTATTCTTGACATTCAAAATAATATAACTAGCACGTAATACCAAGGAATAATTTTATATGAATCAAAGATATAGCATGATACAGACCTACAGTCTTTATGAAATAAAAATATGACATACAAAAAATGTACATGATGTGTGGGAAAAAATCTAGATAAACAAAAATACTTTAACAAATATTATTGAAATATTGATAAGTATGTTTACGTTTATCCAAAATTATTATAAATTTATGATAAATATAAACACTCCAATAAATATTATGGATAAAAATGATCAATATCTATGACATTTACTGGATTGTTTATGTTTACTCTACAATAATACTGTACTCCAGTAACAGGGTTTTAAGTTTTGAGAAGATATTTCGGAAAATTGAAAAGAAGCCTTCAACACATTTTATATTTTTTGTGTACAGTATGATGGCTTCAGGAAAACTAATAAAACTGTAGTTGAAACATGCTTCTGAATTTGTGGTAGATGGAACTCCGGGAAGGTTAGTATTAAGAGTATTGAAATGGTACTTATGTAGGCCTACAGTATGTATGCATCTGTAATGATCCTTACCGCTAAGCCACACCCCTTGGATACTGTTGCTAAGGTCTAACAGGCACTGTTCTGATTGGTCAATTAAGTTTGATTGACACTTGAGAAAGGCCCATTGGCAAATAATAAAATAAAATATTATGGATAAAAATAAACACTATCTAAATCACTGTTCTTAATGTCAGTTGTTCATTTTGAAACTCTAAAAAAGGTCCATAGGGAAAAAATATTTTCTCATTCTTTTCAAATGAATGCAAATAAATATTGAATTTAATTTTCAAGTTGTTTATGGTTCTCTACAGCACATACATCTTTAAATAAAAGTCTGAGGAAGATTTATGTCTCCATCGAGAATCAAGCGCTTTTAGTAAAAGCACATACATTTCTGAAATATTTAAAATTACTAATAATGTTTGTGGAATTTGATAAATTGCATACTTTTATCGTCATAATAAAATAATTTGGATATTTCGATATTTAATACCTTTGTTCTATTACTAGCTTTAAATGAAATCTTGAGTTTAATGGTATGTACATTATGAAGAAAACAGCCAAACTGACCTAAATTTAAAGTGACTGAGTGGAATTAAATTTACATGTTTAAAAATCTATCATGACAGCTAATAGATTTATAAGCTTTTATTCATTCAGTACCAATATTCTGGTTTGTACAGTAAAATATTTACTGATACTGCATTTTGTATGCACAGGCAAAGAACTTAAATAGCAGAAGAATGAGTTGCTCCACGTATTTGCATTAAAATTGATGGAACATTCGCCCTCCTGCGGATGAGGTAAAATTGCTCTCCGTGTACCCACAATGCTGTTCCACTATATTGGGAAGCTGCTCTATCTTCTGCTATTTATTATCTTTGGCACAGGTACCGTAAATTATGTACGGAGTATATTTCCATATTAGCCAAATAAAATTTAATCTGAATGTGTTTTATCACCATAAAAGAATGTTGTAGCTCTTGTATAAGCTCCGCACCAAACATTATTTTTTTAGCTAAGTGCCATGGCGCTTAATCGAGAGTACAATTACCCTGTGTGTAATGTAATACTTTGAGAAAAACAGGGTTTTAAATACAAGGTATACAGTGTTAAAATACCACAATGAAGACAAGAATTTCTTTATGAATGTTCAGTTACGATGACATTGGATCTATGATTAGGTCTACCGTACTACGGAAATACATAAGACAGGTAATATGGGAAGGGTATGTAAAGCGCCACGCCAATATTTTTTGATAAGCGCCGCTCTTGAACAAGCGCTGAACTAAAGCCTCCAAAAATTTTGTAAGTACTGCGGCGCTTATTCAAGCATTTACAGTACCCTTGGTTGGACACATACCAGCATGTAAAGATGATGTAGAGGATGCACGTCCTTGTATGTATGCGTGTACATGTTACTTTTGTGCCTTTGTGCTATTAGAATGCCTTCCATCACCACAGAGGGCTCTTTAAAAGGCATCAGATGAGAGCACATAAAGGTTTGTTACATTCAAGCCCTCCAGATTCGATTGAGTGTCTTCCAAAATTTAGTGCAATCTACCGGTCTCCCAAATTTTGTGAAATACTCCTGAATTTAGTGGCCTTTTGGTACCAATAATTGAGCATTTTTGTGTCAATTTTTCCTTTGCGCACCGACTTTATCAACAATACGCGTACAATGGCTTTCCGAGTGTGAATGACACCTCGATAGATCAGAATGCATGCATAAAAAAAACTTTGATTTTCAAAATTTTGGGGTGGGGAGCACTTTACCAGAGCACCTTTAGTCTCTCCTGAATTTGAGTTCTACTGATTGCACATCTGAAGTAACATGTACAGTACATACATGTTACTTAAGAACTTGTCTGCAAGAATCTGTTTTATCACAACAAGGAACTGTTGTGTGTATGTGTTGCCTTTGAGCCCAAATGTGTTAGCATGTGTGCAATTAAGTTATATTCCATCAAAAAGAGCTTATGTAGACAGCATGCATTCACGTATGCATGCATGTTACCTTTGAGGCCATGTGCAAGAATATGTTCCATCACCACAAAGAACTGTTGTAGAGGTATATGCTCATCGTCCAGAATTCGTCCCTCTTCCAGAGCTGATTCTATAAGTGCTTTGATACATAGCTTAGCGATGTTCAGCAAGTTAGCACGCTCCACAAGCACCGGATTTCTAAGCACACTATCATCTAGAAAAAACATAATTAAAACAAACAAAAAGGAAAAACGTTAATGATATAGTATTTTAATACTGTATATTAATATTTTTCCACTCATACATTGAACAAGTTATCAATCATTTAAAGTACAGAACGTTTATGAATTTAACTTAAATATATTACAATTATTGTATAACAAAACAATTAAAGTTTGAGTTGAAAGACAGAAAAGAAGCAGTTGAAATATCAATAAGATGATTTCTTTATTAATTTATTTTGGAAAGCATAATGATAAATGAACTTCCTTCATGATCATTTGACCTAAATAAAAACAAACAAAAAGTCTATGCAAGGTATATTTTTCCACTAATGAATGTATTTGTACTTTTTTAGTTGCATCACTCGACCAAAAGGAACATGGAATATATTTTTTGTGAGAGTACATCTCAGGAAATTCAACATAAATAACGATGTCATTCTTGATATAATACTTTAGCTAACTAGTATACTGTAGTTTATTCTCCAAAATACTGTGCATCATAAATATGCTGTTCTTTAATGAGCCTGATAATTATTTGGGTAAAGCTTTGAAATTCACTTTTATAATTTACTTAATCCTACACAGAAACATTTAAAAAGAAAAAAAAAATGTCTTATTCAACAACTATGAAAGTTCCTGATAAAATGAAACAGAAAGAAGGATAAATTATTTAGGTAAAGCTTTAAAATTTACTTTTATTTAAATTTATTTAATCTCAAGCTGAAAAGCATCTAAAAAAAAAAAGTGTCTAATTCAACAACTATAGAAGTTCCTGATACAATGACATAGGTAGAAAGTAAGTGCACTTAAAATAAAATTAAATACTGCCACTGTGTGCTCATTCTGTTCATTTCGAAGCACAAAAGAGACCTGAATGGCTACCTATCTTGGAAAAGGCTCTAGGGAGAAATTACTGAACAGATATGGCCTGAGGCCCAGGAATACTGTACAAAGCCACAGTCAGTATATCAAGAATAATAATTAGATGTTGATGCACAAAACACAAAGAAGGTTGTCTGAAATGAACACAAATGAATTAACCTAGAAAAATCAAATTTATTTAAATGTAATTTGAATTTGTATTAAATTAACAATACACTCACAAGCTTTTTAAACAAGATTACCAGTGTGCAATCCCCATATTAATGGTGGTAGTGTACCTCCCAGCTAACAATATTATGTTATGAGAACGTTATAATGTTACAGTTTGGTGTTAAAAACGTTATTTTGTAGAACCATACATACACACAACTTAATTTCACAATGTCATAACGTTTGAACGTTCCTGCAGTTGTGTAAATGTAGTTTTGTGACATACCTAGCCACAACGTTCGCAAACATAAGAAAGTTTTGTGTTTGCTGGGCTGTAATTTGCGAAACATCTATCTACCGTGTGATATATTATGGAAATGCGAATGTCGAGGTATTCAAGCTTTGCCTGAAGCTCATTAAAATAATGGTTCTATTTATTATATATATATAGAATATAATTACATAATCAATAAAAACCTACTGTATCATTCATATGCAAATTAATTCTAACCATCAACTTGGCTCTAGTGTACCTACCATAGCAAATTTTCTTAAAGGCATCGGAATAGATTCAAATTTGAAGACATTTTGGTCAAAATAAGTCCAAAAAAATCTTTAAATATGAATTAATTATATAGAACACGTATGGTGTCATTTTACCATTCCCTTTATACGTTCATTATTGATTCAATACTATTGCTGGTATAATTTCATTTAAAAAGCAAATGTAATACAAACATGTATAAGATTATGACATATAGTAGTGAAAACAGTATATAAAAAAATCCCTGTAGTTATGCAGGATTTACAGTATGCTAAATATGGTAGAAATTGACAAATAGAAACCATTTGAATTAATATATTCTTGACATTGATTTAAGCATAATATAATTAACTTGTTACTCTCATGATATCAAGTATAAATATACAGTATATAGTGGAAGCAGTGTAGCAGGGGCTGCAAATTATGCTTTCTATCATGAGGAGATGAGTTTGAATTGTGCATTTCATTTTGTGTTTGGGCAAGGTACTATAGTCGTCTCTCCACTCAAGTGTGTAAGTGGTACCTGGTTCAAACACTAATCCATTGATCACTATACTACTGTAGCTATATTACATTATAGAATTCTCCCTCAGGGACTTGAATATTCTACATTTGCTTGGTCCATCTGATTATGGCCTAGCAACTAGAAATTGAACTTTAAAATTAAATTATGCATATTTTATGCAAATTAGTTTAGAGAAACTGACAATTAGAAACCATCTCAATATTCTTGACAATGCTTCTAGTATAATCAACATATTATTATTATTCTCATGATCCCAAGAATTAATAAGAATCGCACGAGCAGTTTATAGCAGGGAATGCAATTTAGGCATTCAATCATGAGGACATGATTCAAATCTCTATCACTGCATTTTGTTTGTCCTTTGGCAAGGAACTTGAGTATAAAAAAGGTAGGTAGGTAGGTAGGAAAATAATCCATAACTTGCAGCGCCATTGTGCTGAATTGCGTATGGACATGGTCCGTGACTACTTAGCGGCCGTAGAGGCACTTATTATTAGCTACACGTTTACATCGACAGGGGCTGAAATGAACCATAACATTGGGGTAACCCCCCTACTCTTCCGAAAGATGCAATGGGTTGTTTAAAGTGGACATGAGCCAGATGTGTACACTGGACCTCCATTTTAAGTTCTTATCCGAGAAGACTTGGTTCTACCAACCGAATCCTTGGCGAGGAGCGGCTGGAACCAGCGCCGATAATTTTGGGAGTGGTTGGTGTACAGTAGTGGTTGCATTTTCCACCCTTGCTATGCTGCAGCAAGTGTAACATACTGTATAGTATTTGAACTTTGACATTACAGCAGGGGTACCCACCTTTAGCCTAGGTGGAGAGAGACTACCTTGGAGTGCCTTACAGAAGGTGAAACTTTTTTATACCTTGTTTCGCGAACTTATTTTTTTTAAGACCGTCAGGGGAGGGTGGAAAAAATTAAAATAAAATTTTCTTTTCTTATTTAGCAAATGGTTTTGCTAAAAACATCCAGATGGAGGAGACAATAAAAATAAAATTTCAGTTTTTCAGTTTCAGTTTTTCAGTTTATTTATTTGACCAAAAGATGGTCGGGGAAGCTTAAGCAAACAAATCACTATAACTTTTTCAAGCCAGCTGCCCCCTCCCTCATAAAATATACAATATGATAAAGATAATAATTTAAATTACAAAAGACATATAAAACATCAATAAAGAATAAAAAAAAAAAAACAAGTATGTATATTGTATGAACAATTGTATTGTGAATGTTAGCGGTGTAGTAATGGGATGGTTAAATGCTTTAAATTTATGTAATTAGGAAGAAATATAAATACTGTAGCTTATTTTTTGAGATTTCAAGGCAGTGGCGGGCGTGATAAAAATAAAGAAAAACCTTCATTTTTATTCTGAAATTTATTCGAAATTATCATTATTAGCGGGCAGTGGGTTCGCTGAACAATGCCTAAAAAACGTCTTGTCTAAGGGTGCAATTGAAAGACAGGGAGCCAAGTATTTTGTAGATGATTGAGCCAATGATCTGGTAATTATGTGTTGGCATGATACATTATGGTAAAGTTCGACACTATAATTGTAAATGTATTCACTTCATAGTGTAATACGTTCTCAATAAAATATAAATATTATAATTTATATTCCACTGTATTTTTGAAGATTCCAAAATTATAATGTAATACAGTATAAAGGATTATCCTTTTCAAGACATGTTTGTACTGCAGCAAAGTATGATTATACAATAAATACAAACAATTGCATCACAGTGCATATTTTATTTTATTATAATACCTACAGTAATAATTAAGTAGTTAAAAGTTCATAGTTCACTTTATTTGTCCTTTTGGAAATTATAATTGACATACAACTGCTCAAGAGTGATATTACAAAAAAGGAACATTATACTTCGAGTAATGTATGTGTGGTTCTATTTTCAAATGTCAGTTGGGAACTACTCTTGTATTCATTTGTGTCAATATTGTAGTTACTGTACCAATCATTATTATTTTCATGTTAATGTAACATCAGGGTATTAATATTTCTAATGATATGATATTATTGCACTCCAGGCTCGTACATAAATATTTGCCTTCCCCATTCCACTGTGTGAAAACGTTTAATAATGCATAACCCATAAACCTCAAGGTCATTCCTGCGGAAAAGGAAGAGCAAAAGAAACTAAGAAAAAAAATATTTTGAGTTAGTTAGATAAATGAATAGATGCTAAAAAAATAAATTAATGAATAAACCAAAAATGAAATATAAATTATAAATAAAACAATAAATAATACATAAGCATGTAAAAATATATAAATAATAAAAATAAATAAGTATACAAATGGTATAAATGAATAAACAAATTTAATAAATAAGTGAAACAAATGTAAATAAATGAGTAATGACTAAATAAAAATAAATGAATAAACACATAATTACACACATAAATAATAACAATATATTATATAGTTATAAATAATGAATAAACAAATAAATACACACATAAATAATAACAGTATAATATAATTATTATACAGAGTACCATCAAGTTCTTCCTTATTACAATATGGTTCAGAAATTATTTGGTTTTTTTTATATCAGGGTAGCAAAATTATCAATGAATCAAGCTATGTTCATTCCTTTATCCTCATTATGAATTGAACACTAGGCACACGCAGATTATCAACTGATACAAACGCTGCGATGTCAAGTCAATGCTAATAAGAATTAAACGCAGTGCTTTGCATCTAAGAGCACAAGATCATGTCACCTTCTCAAAATCAGGCGATTAAAAATGGCTAGATGAAGGTAAGCCATAGCAGGTGTACACACACATAACCATACAAATCCATATCTCTGATAAATGGTATAATTAGGAATACTAAAATTTTGTAATTATATTTGCTTATTTCATTGCAAAAACTTTGCCAATAGAAGATGGTAATACCTTTTTTCAGCAATAATGTACAATGTGTTTCTTTTTATGAGCTGATGCATATGATTTTATGTGTAAATGACTGCATTATATTTTTTAATTAATTTTGTAAGCATTTTAATTTTAGAGCGCACAATCCAAAGAATATAGAAGGCGTTGGCATTATTTTTTTTTTGCCCGTCACTAGAAACTAGATTGGCAAATCAGCAAATTTTGTGCAACTTTCACTGCTCCTTGGGAAGTACAGTAGCCTCCAGTCATGCTGCTTTACATGCCAAACCCATACATTCAATTTATAGTCCTGGGCGGAGAGAGCATAGGTAAAGTGCCTTGCCTAAGAACACAAGCAAAATGCAGAGCAAAGGATTGAAACCCCACCTCAAGGTTGGGAGACCATTCCCCTTACTCTTGATTTCATCAATAAATCAGCCACACAATCATTGACAATAGTGGGATTTAAAATGATATATTTAATACCATTATAGATTTCAAAATATTAATATACAATAAAATAAATATTTCTTTTATCTTATTATTATATACATATTATACTGTACATACATAATTTATTATATACATATTATGTACACTTTCACTGTTACTGTAATAGACCACTTTGTCTAAGAAGCTCTGGTTTTTACTCGCAGTAAAACAGTTTGTAGTCCATTTATATACTTTTAAGCAAGCTTATCAATTTTGTATATCCACCATCATCATTCCATACGTCATTGTTGTTTTTCAGTGTTTTGCCTTTTGGTCTATATTTTAGATGATACTAGTTTACACCAAGGGAACTGACATTTATATAGATTCATCCCCTGGTACATTCAAATAGTGATAATAAACGCAACTAGTAAAATGATAGCCATTCATCCAATACAAACTGAATAATGTATCACAGTATAATTACCTTACATGACAACTCGATAAGGCTCTGTTGTGATTTATGGTTATTTAAAAGTGTTTGTTCTATACATATAACTAAACTGAATAGCCAATGATAAGCAAGTGTTGGCTATTTTGTAAGATGGGGCACAAACATATTTAAATTAGCTTCAATAAAAGCCATCGAATAACTTGATCAATGTAATTTAATATTTGAATTTATTATGGTAATACATTGTATATTTAAATATAAACCTTTTAATTTGAAACAATTATAAAAAAAATTCTCACCAATTAAAAGATGTACTACTAGTCAAGAGGTAAAAAACAATTTAATTTCACATTTGAATTGCTTAATTTGCATATTCAATCAAGTAAAGTTACTACCTTAAAATTAGAATTTGAATAAACAAAATATTCCCCAGTCATTTTTCGGACACTTAAATCATAACAAAGAAGGAAGAAACCAAAACAAACTTTACTTTCCGGTATTCTTGGATACTCAATTCCGTATAAAGGTGATCATATGATTCCAACTTGCCTGGTGTGCAACGGAGTAATAGTAGGCATATCGCTTCTAAACAATAGATGCTTTTCTTTGCTGAAAGATGCTCTGTACAGCTTTTAAGGGCGTACCATTTCAAAAAATCTTCCTATTTTGGGAGAGGGACACCCCCTCCCAAACCCACCACTGCTAGGTGCTATGCACCCCTCTGTATCCGCATTTTGTATCCCTGAATTGTCTGGTAATCAGTTTAAGGATTTTTGTTGTAAAATGTTTGGAAATCGATGAAAAATATTGGTTTTTAAATTTGTTTCTCATTGGAAGCTAATAATTATTTTATCCTTTCAAATGAACTATTCAAAATTTTTAATTTTTGATGTATTTTTCTGTCTTTTTTGACTGATAGTACATCTTAAACAGACAAGCAATAATATCAGGTCAGTCTTACTGAATATATACTGTATAACACATAATCAGCTCCCTCCCTAAGGAAGTATTTGATAACGTTGCAGCTGGTAATAGCAGATTGCCATTCAAATCTACCAATTACTCATGTACTGTGTATTTCTAGGTGGAGAGACAATTTGGATTAAGGGAACTTGCTAAAGGTCACAAGAAAAAATGCACCAAGAGATTCAAAACCATAATGTTGAGTGTTGGACCGCAAATGCTGCATCAACTACTGTCCTCCCACATGCCATTGCTTGCCTTAATTAAGTACACTAAAATTTGGCTTCTAATTAAATTAATTAATTTTGTAGCGACAAGTTGTTAAATCAGTAATCAAAGTAATAAATTTTGTCTGTATAAATTGTTTTAAGTGTTTTATTGGAAGTTGTTTGGCCCTCTCAAAATTTTCCAAAATTTATTTTTTAATTGTTTTCCAAATTTGAAAAAAAAAAATCAAGTGGAATTTTAAATGATTTTAATCCTGTTTGATTAAAACCTCATAAAGTCATATAAAGATTTAAAAACATACATTTTGATCCAAAGGAATTGATAATGAAAGGGAATTAAATATTTAAATATTACAATAAACAATAAATATTGTTTTTTAGGTAATCCCTTTAATCTGAATCAATCTGATGTGCTTTGTTTTCTTTTTAAATATTTTTCTATTACAATTTTTAATATTCAGGTTGTGGTTGGTAAAGAAACCTACTGTATTCAATCAGCTTCAAGTAATGTTAAGTTTCTCCAACACATAAAGATAAATTTTTCTTGACAGATTTCAAGGAATCCAGTTCTCAACAGATCATGTGACCTTTTACAGCCAATCCAAGCAGGCGTATATAATTGGATGTCTCAAAACATTAATTACTGGAACACACTCTGCTACAGTACATTTGAAATTCATGTTTGAGAACATTAATTACCATCCAATGTGAAATCTGCATGTGAATTAGATTGAAAATGGCTAAACACATTCATGTCATGGTGTACAGTAATGCAATTCCATTTTCCAAATGTTATTCATGTACTGTACATAGCTTGGGAAAGCTATTATCAGTGAGTAAAATGCATCTCAAAGACATTTTTGCAATTTTTTTTAATATATACATTTTGCTCATTGTTATATTTTAGTTTTTATTTACTCAACAACAAAAAACCCATCACATACAGTATTATTATTTTATAGCATTTTTTAGCACACATATCCCAAAAAGTGCTCAAGGCGCTTCCACCCCCCCCACCCCGGTCATTGGATACAGAGTCAATCATACACAACGTGCAACCTCCTCTGCCCCCTGAGGGAGTCTTCCTAGTTATGCGTGTAATCAGCACTACTAATTTCATTCTGAATCATTCACCTCTAGGTACCCATTTAGACTCCTGGGTGAAGAGAGGCAAATGCAGATAAAGTGTCTTGGTCAAAAACACAAGCAGTGTGACAAGCGTCGGTCTCGAACCCCTAACCTTCCAATTCGAGCGACTTACATGCTGCGACACATGCTTTAGTTACAGTAAATGAATGAAGCAAAAAAAAAGCTTTACTTTCAGCAAATACTGCATGATGAGAGTGGTAGGCGCAGTGGTTGCGATTGGGTCACGTAACCTTGGACTTGTTAGGGGAAGATCCAGAGATGTCCAAGGGGGAGGGGGTGCGCTGACGTTTCCGAAATGGGGAGGGACCCCCCCCAAGTTGAGAGAAAACACTAACATAGGGGGGTCAAAAATTTATGCTCTAAGGTGTGGTGGGCAATTAATAATTTCTTATTTTTTTTCTTTTTAAAATTTTTTTTTTGACTTTCCGAAGGGGGGAAGGGGCCTAGTCGTGGGTTCAAACTCTGACAGTCCATTTCACTTGTGTACGCAGGCAACATACAGTTGTTTCTCGCCACCCTGGGTGGGTACTATAGTATTTTAAATACACATACTTCTAATCAAACTATATTTTAATATCAAAACAATTTATGGACTACCCCAGGGTGTGTGTGTTCCATTGCTGTTTGATTCAATGCCCAGGGCCACCTCAGGTCTATTTCAGGGCCGGCTAATCTTCTAAAATTTGTATATGAATAATTTTTTTGCATAATTTTGACATCTTAGTGACCAATAGGAGAGTTAATTAAGATAATTTGAATTAAAGAAACTGCTGTGGAAAGAAGTATAAAATTGTTGACTTAAAAATCTCAATCAAAACACTGAACTGTTTCAGTACTGTACCTACTGTAGATAGCTGAGCCCAAATTTATTCTGCTTTTTCACTACTTACCATCAGTCTCCTGGCCTGACTCTTCAGCCCCTTCTGTACTCGAGTTTGACCCTTGCTGGGCAACGGACACATCCGACAACTCCCTAAGGCACAGCCATTCACCATCCACAGACACACGAAAATTACACAGATAAATAGTATCGTTAGCCATCACATAAATTTGATTGTGTAGGTGAGGTCTCTAAGCACAGAGAAATAAATGCAACACACTCCCTACAGAACCTCCTATCAATAGCCGATGCCGGTGTAGTTGCCATACGTCATCTTTTATGTGAGCCTTCACTAATTAATTTGTTAGTCCTATGGTATCAGGTGAAGCCCGGGTTTGTGACACTAATCTACCTGTTTCCGTAGCTCATCTATATCCTCGGAACCAAACACAGGTGATTGAATGATATACATACATTTCCCCCGATGCAGCCTACACTACATCCATGACTAAGCAACTTATCCACTCGAGAGCAGTGGAGTAAATGATGCGAGCGTTCAGATATACCTGACACTTGTGATTCCTATAATTTATCCGATCATTTGCATACAAATATATCTGATCACCGTTGGCTAGCTGTACATCTATCTGCAGAGTGCTCTATAAAAGCATCTGGCTTTTTCTACATCAGTACGGAGCAGAGCATAAAAAACAAAACTGATTAATTTGTACACGTCACACACTTGGGTTTAGCAAAAACCATTAACGATCTGTTGCTATGGTTGCAAACCTGTGAATACTATCTTAGAATAAGAACTAGTGAACGATTGGAATCTACTTATAAAGCACATGTTGGTATTTTAAACAAATTAACTGGAAATTAGTTTTAAGAATATGCTAAAATTCTTAATTTAATATGAAAAGGCCATTATTTTTGTCTTGACATCATAATTCTAAAAACAGGCATTATTATAGATATAATATTCCTTTTTGAAATTTTCAATAAAAACCAATTAGAGAAGAATTGATTTTTGAATTGATTTTTGAATTTTTTGTGCTTTTTAAATATTTATTGAATGTCAAAATGTACTTGTGATGTTTTTATTTTCATTTTTTTGAATGTTTATTCATTGACAAATATTGTAATTTATCCAATTTTTCTTTTGATTGCAAAAAATATTATTTGAATTGTAGTTGATTAGAAATAAATTATAAATTAATGAAAAAGGCCATGTTGGGCCAAGGAATGTGTAGCAGGAGGATCAGCTTGCTGATCTCGCACTGCATGCCTGATTGTGATCGTTGGTGTTTTAGGCAAGTTCTGCACATGCTCAGAAGTATATTGAGAATAAGCATGAGGAGATAAATCATATTTTAAGTATCAAAGTTTAATAGGGGAATTCTTTCCAATACCATACAGATCTGGCCCCCAGGGTTGTAGCTGTAGAAAACTAAAGTGGGTGATAGACATTTTAAGGGTGGGAGGGTAGGTGATAACATTAGTAAACTCTAATCATATTCATGGATTTTAAGGATAGAAAAGTGGGTTAATACAAGTAGGTGGAGGTCTATGAAATTAGCTTCAGACTGGGTGGAAAACTTCAAGGTTGGGTAGCCCTACCCACCTCAGTCCACCATAACTACATCCCTGGGCCCCAACTACTGAGTTTAGCAAAATAGAGCTGAAATACCATATTCAACTTTGTCGAAACCCATTTTTCTTTACATATGCAAGGTGGCCGATTAAAACAATCCCAGTTTGCCAAAAGCCACTTTTTGGAATCTACTTTCTTGAGAGATAAATTACAGTAAGTAAAAGTTAGGTTTGAGAATTGTCATCAGAGAAAATGTATCAAAAAAAAATATTTAAGAGAAAAACCTGCAGTTTTTACAGTAGAAATGCTAAATCATTAAATAGACAAGGATATTGTTTTCGGGAGGGTCCTCATTCCAACACTATGGCCCTCAATTTGCTCTATTCTGAGAAATCATTTCAAAAATCATTGATCTGCCCACGCAATAATTTAATATTTAACATTTTTATGAGAAGTTATTAAAATATCATTAAGTGTGCAAACCATTCTGCTTCTTAGTTTAACATGTATTTCAGGACAATACAATTTTTAATTCCGAATAAATGGGTTTTTTTTAATTCAATTTTAGATTTACATAGAGCTCATATCCATTTCAAAGAAATGCTTGGACTCTAGAGAAATAAGAAAATAACAGACAATACTTTTAGTACCTGAAACTGAGACAATACAGTCTGAAAACATAATCCAATTTACTAAGTCATAAATATCCTCAAACCTAACCAAGAAAAAAGAACTGACAAAGCTGAGGAGCCAACATATTCACTGCTTTGTTTACCAACACTTTGAAAACTCTCGTGTACTAAAAATCATGTACCTCACAACAGAAAGCTTTTCACCGCATAATTATCATTTTAAATGTAGGTGTGCGAAAACGGACCATCTAGGTAATGAGGTCGCCTAGATCCCCTGAAAGGGTAAATGAGAAGAGCCAGTGGTATTGCAGTATTGCTATTGTAGGGGTTTAGAGATACTGTGGAGTAGTACTGGTTTAAAATATAGTTATGTCTACTGTAAGACTCCCTTTTAATTCATTATATTTAGTACATTTTCAATTGTCTAAAAATTAAATTTATTTACTGATGATTTAGCATAACATATTTTTTGGGAGATATACGGCAATTCCGATGTTTTAAAAGATAGGCCCATGCTATGTGTGTGTAGAAAATGGTCAGTAGCTACAATGGACAAAATAAGAATAAAATATGGATTGTAAAACATGGATCTTTTTAAATTTAGGGCTGGCATCACATAGTACCACTTCTGGATGTGGGCCTAATCCCAGTTGCAAATGGGGTAACAACTTTCTCTTATTTGTAAGTTATGGGGGATTGAATAATATTGCTGTGATTATGATGCAATACTACAAATAATATTCACATGACACTGAACGAGGACCAGAGGAGTGTGGGGGTGTGTTTGTGTGTGTGGTTTTCTTTTTTTAACCATATTTAGAGGGTGACCCTTCCATCCTATCCTACTGTAGAAGGTTGGCTGATATTCAGGGGCCCTCTTTAAATAAATGAAATAATGTGATGCTTTTACATGTATCAGCTAAGTCTCTTTATAAGGCTTTAAGTTTTCAAGTTGCTTTATGTTGTTTGCGCAAGGTTTCTTTCAAAGTTTCAGCAATTATTGTAAAATGTGACATTTAAATTTATTTACTGATGATTCAACATAATGTATTTTTTTATGTGTGGAAAACAGGACTTTCAGTGGCTACTGTACAATGGAAAAAATAAGAATAAAAACTGCATTTATTAAAAACAGGTAAATAATAATATTATTAGAATTAGTCTGATGATATTTTCATTGAGCCTAGCCTAGGCTTGACCTCGCCGTAGCCTGCTGCTGGGCCGCTATTCAGGCTAACCTCCCTTTATTTTAGGCCAGACCTAGGCTAGAATTATTAAAAATAATATTTAATTGAACATTTGCAATGTATCTATGATAATGCAACTAGAGAGTTCTACAGTGTTGAACAAGATAACACAAAATCTTAACTTTAACCACTTTACAAACAGTCAATTTATATTTACACGGCACACATTTTAATTAAAATTAGGTTAATATAGAAGAAAAATTAGTCGAATTGACAGTAGTTCTTTGGAGAAAGATATGCTACAATGCTAGCGTGTGGAACCCGGAAATTAGATCCTTGAACGCCTGGGTCATTGCTACACTGTGCTGGAAGGCTATCACGTGTTATTGAGATGTCACCACCACAGAACTCAACAATTGCTTGTTGTAGAGCCAGCCGATAGGGTGTCACCTGGTCACATCAACATCAAGGACGTCCTGTCAGGTGACCCCCAGATCTAGGTGACATCACACTCTACCTAGAATAGGCTGGTACCAATACAGACTGGAGAGTTCCAGATACAGTGGTGGTGCCAGCTGGGGATCCGGGAGGCAAAGGGAATATCCCCCATGTCGGACAGGCACGGACACCTCTGTTGTCCGATGCCAGACAAGTTTATCAGATCAAAAATTAAAAAAAAAAAAAAAAATTATAATTTGCCTTTCCAAATAATATTATTTTGATTGCCAATTGTGGTCTGAAAGCACAATTTGAACCATACTAATAAGACATAAAAACTGTCCCGGTGAACCCTAAAGGGATTTTATATTCTGGGATACCGAACGAGGCAGTGGTCGACCCATTGGTTGGGGCTCTTCTGACATGTTGGACCCTTGTCAGCAAGTTTCTGTAGCTACTGCTGCCAAGATACTATACGGAAAAGACGTATTGTACAATAATACAGACGAGCATAGGACTGAAGTGTCAAGAAGAAAAAATAAGTTTAAGAATAAATAAATAAATAAAAAAATTAATAAAAAAATTTATTGCCTGAAACGCCTTATTTTCGGACGTTTAGAAAATCCTAGGAGCCTAGGGTGGTGTTATCTTGATCGGCCCACTTAGGGACCCCACCCCCCACTTTCGGACATCTCTGGATTCGCCCCTCATGCCTGTAGGGTAGATGTTAGATGTTTTTTCTACATGCTTAGCCAACCTTTCTTAGGCTAGGTTTACAGTAACAGTAAAAACAATTGCATTGGATGATAAAATAGCACATACATGGAATGCAACCATATTTCCTGGGCATATATTCAATGCACACAACATGTAGCAAAGACTACTAACAGAGGTCTTAGTAACTACATGTAGTGTCCGATACAGTCAACATATTATATGACTACATGCCACACCAGAGGTTTAGGCCTAGCGCACTAAATACAGCAACTTGAATTCGATCCAACTCGGCCACAAGTCAACTCGGCCACAGTCAACTCGGCCACAAGTCAACTCGGCCACAAATCAACTCGGCCACAAAAAGTTCGGCTGCAGTCAACTCGGCCACAAGTCAACTCGGCCACAATAATATTGCTGTTATTATTGGTGTCATTGTTATTATTGTTTTTATTATCGTTAGTTTTAATATCAATTATTAGTCTTAGCATTAACATTATGTATTGTTTAAATTTTTATTGTTACCATATAAATAATACAAAATTCTCGATTTTTTTTAATTCATATTATTATTATATATTAGTCTTAGTATTATTATTTTAATAATAGTAATTTCAAAAATATTGTTATTGGTGTTTTATTGGTATTTTTCTCATATTATTATTATTATTATCATTATTGTTGTTGTTGTTGTTGTTGCTGTTGTCACCTTTATTATCGATATTATTACCCTATTATTACTAAGTAGGCCTAGTATTATAAGTATCATAATTATTATTATTATTGCTAATTAGTATTACTATTATTATAAAAATAAACGTTATCTTTAATTTATTATTGCTGTTATTATTGCTATTATCACCTTCAATGTTATTATCACTAATTAGTATTATTAAAATA